GGAAAGACATTTGATGAAATTCAGTGTCTCTTTTTGGATGAAAACATTTAGTAAACTAGGAACAGAGGAATTTTTCTTAACATGGTAAAAAGTAGTTACCAGAAACCAACAATGAACATCGCATAATGAAAAAATCCTATCAATATGTTCATTAATTTAGGAAATAGACAAGGATGCCTCTTATCACTGCTATTATTGTTCTTCATTGCTTTAGAGCAGGGTTTCTCAGTGTTGGTACTCTTGACATTTTTGGACCCTATAACTTTTTTGTTGTGGGGGGTTGTCCTATGCATTGTAGGATATTTAACAGTATCCTTGGTCTCTATCTATCGGATGACAGTGCTACTCCTTCCCTACCCCAGTCATAACAACAAAAAATGTTATTGTCTCAGCAAAATTATGCTAGTTGAAAATCACTGCTTTAGAGATTTTAGACAGGTTTAGCAAGACAAGAAAATAAATAGATATCACATTTGAAAAGGCAGAAACAAAGTTATCTTTATTTGTAAATTATACTATTATCCATCTGTATCAAAAACTAAGTGAATTAACTGAAAAATTTAGAAATAACATGGGAGGTTAAGAATGTGGCCATATGGCCGGGCACAGTGTCTCTAACCTATAATCTCAGCACTCTGGGAGGCTGAGGTGGGAGGATCACTTGAGGCCAGGAGTTTGAGCCCAGTCTGTGCAACCTAGCAAGACTTTATCTCTAGAAAAAATAGAAAAATTAGCTGGGCATGATGGCGCGTGCCTGTAGTCCTAGCTACTTGGGAGACTGAGGCAGGTGGATTGCTTGAGCCCAGGATTTCGAGGCTGCAGTGATCTGTGATCACCCACTGCACGCCAGCCTGGATGACAAAGTGAGACCCTATCTCTTAAAAAAAAAAAGTAGCCACATGTAAGATAAGTGCCAAGAATTAGTAACTTCCCAGCAATAAGAAGATGTAATAGGTAAAATGATCCCTTTCACTATAGAAAAACTCTATAAAATTCTTAGAAACACAAGCTTGACAAGAAATGTAAGATTTGTATGATGAAAATGATGAAACTTTACTGAAGGACATAAAACAGGGCTGGAAGGAGTGGAGAATCACACTGTGTTTCTGGATGGGAAGACAATATGCTAAGGATCTCAACCCTCTTCACATTAATCTGTACATTTTATGCAGTCCTAATCAGAATTTTAATGTTGTTTTTTCCCCCTGGGAACTTACAAGGTTGTTTCTAAAGTTCGACTGGAAGAATATGCGTGGGAGAATAGCTAAGACATTTTTGGAAAAGAATAATGAGGTGTGACTGCCCCTACTAAATATGAAGTCATACTGGAAAACCATATGAAAATCACATGGTACTATTCCTAAATACCATAACCTACCGAAAGGAACCTGGGCTCCTTGGAAAAATGATCCAGATCTTGGGCAAGAAATGCATATGATTAGCTTATAACATTTTTCATACTGCAAAGCAAGAAAGAGTCTAAGACTACTAGGGTCATGTCAAAGACACAGGAGCCAAATTGAAGGGGCTCCTATTGGCCATTCCATACAAACTCATTAAATATGTTATGATCCATGAAGTCATAATAAAACTTAAAAATAATTTGGAGGATGTGAGGGAATTCATCTGAAACTGGCAAATAAAGGGAGAGTGGCGGCTGGGCGTGGTGGCTCACGCCTGTAATCCTAGCTCTCTGGGAGGCCGAGGTGGGCGGATTGTTTGAGCTCAGGAGTTCGAAACCAGCCTGAGCAAGAGCGAGACCCCGTCTCTACTAAAAATAGAAAGAAATTAATTGGACAACTAAAAATATATATAGAAAAAATTAGCCGGGCATGGTGGCGTGTGCCTGTAGTCCCAGCTACTCGGAAGGCTGAGGCAGCAGGATCGCTTGAGCCCAGGAGTTTGAGGTTGCTGTGAGCTAGGCTGACGCCACGGCACTCTAGCCGGGGCAACACAGTGAGACTCTGTCTCAAAAAAAAAAAAAGTGAGAGTGGCAAGCATTTTTCCTCCCTTTCGTGTACAAATTGCACCTCCGAGTAACCAAAAGGTTGACATTGGACAGTTCTTCACAGAAGAATTTCCACTAAGAAATGCTCCCCCTTCCAAAAAAAAAGAAAGACTGTCACCATTTTGCAGTAGCTGATGAGTATCAGAATCAGTCAGAATCAGGCAATAATCATTAGTGGCTGCTAAACTTAGGTGAGAGGCCAACGGGGGCACTTTATAACGCATGGACGGGGCTGACAGGCGGCTGATTGATCTTACCTAACAGCCAGCCAGGCACTCCTGCATCCTGGGGTCATTCAGTGGGAAGTGCACAGCGCCACCCATGAAGTGTACAGTACTTACTCCAAAAAATTGGACTTCAATCTGATTGAACCTCTAGAACAGACTACTAGTTTGCAGGAGATAACAGGGTCAGAGGCATAGGTTCAACACCACCACAGGGAAGTAAGCAGTGATTTCCCTGTTAAATTTCCCTCACAGAATGTGGGAAATTCTTTTAGACAAATGACCCAGTTTTTTCAACAAATGAATGGCCAAGAGGGGGGAAAAGAAGGAGAAGAATTTTATGGGCTAAGATTTAAGAGATACAGTAACCAAAAGCAAGCTTCGTGATGTTAACATTCCCCTTTGACTTCCCCATCCCTGGCCAAGGACATATAACCTTGAAATCCTTTATCCCCTAGGAGAACCAGCCTTTGATGTCACCTATAAATTCCTGACCCCCAACGTAGCTATAGTCTGATGTCCCCTTTACCACCCGCCCTAGTATCTCTGGCAGAATAACTTCCCTTCCACCTGAGTTTGGCTGTCTGCATTCCCTAGGGAGAAGGTGGGCTGGGGCTGCTGTTGCCCCATGCATTTTCATCTCATCCTTCCTTCTGTCTTCCCTCAGCTTATTCCCAGCACCTGGACAATGAGATTAGTCACAGCAGCTACCTGGGCACTGACTACCCCACAGCCATGACCCCCACTTCCCCTCGGCGCTACTCCCCAGTGGCCAAGGATCTGCTAGGGGAGGAAGACATTCCCCGAGAACCTAGGCGAATTGTGATCCACCGGGGATCCACAGGCCTGGGCTTCAACATCGTGGGTGGCGAGGACGGTGAAGGCATCTTCATCTCCTTCATCCTGGCTGGGGGCCCTGCAGACCTCAGTGGGGAGCTGCGGAAGGGGGACCAGATCCTGTCGGTGAGGGAAGGCCTGCCCCTGCCTGCACTGCCCCCCCCGCGCCCCCCCCACCGGGCAGAGCCTAGAGCTCTTGGGGAGGGGTGCAGGTGGGCTGAAACCTGGTCCTCTTGCTGGACCACTCCCTTCTCCACCTGGACCCTAGAAGTGCTGCCAACCTCTCTCCCCTGACTCGGCCTCTCCTCTTCTCTCTAGGTCAACGGTGTTGACCTCCGCAATGCCAGCCATGAGCAAGCAGCCATTGCCCTGAAGAATGCGGGTCAGACGGTCACGATCATTGCTCAGTATAAACCAGAAGGTACCAGGCCAGAAGCTCCCGGTCTTGTGGGCTAAGATGATCCTCAGAACTGTCTCCCCAGCTGATGGCTTCAGTGGGGGTGGAAGGGGTGGTAGGATGGGGCCAGAGCTCAGCAATCTTCTCGTCCTTCCTCAGAGTACAGCCGATTCGAGGCCAAGATCCATGACCTTCGGGAGCAGCTCATGAATAGCAGCCTGGGCTCAGGGACTGCCTCCCTGCGGAGCAACCCAAAGAGGGGCTTCTACATCAGGTCCGAGGCCTCCTGGGCTGGGCTCCTCAGGCTGCTCCAGGTTCCTCTGTGCCCTGTGCCTGCCTGTTCCTCTTTCTCCAAACCCTGCCGGCCCTAGCTTCCCCGACCCAGGCCTGCCACCCAGCCGTGATCACGTGCTGGCCTGCACAGGCTGACATGGGAAACCCTCCATGTCCATTGGAAAATGGCCTGTGCCCCTAGCGTCCCAATTGCCTTCTAGCCCCTGGTCACCCTGGCCCTTCCCCAGTACTCCCAGACTGCCCCCTAATTTGGCACCTAGGAGGTTAATGCCTCACATAGCAGGGGCTTGTAGGGCATTTTCAATGTGTCCCCAGCCTTCACATCCTTGTGGCAGTCCTGGGGAGATGGACCACAGCTCTCTTGCCCTGGCTCCTGTCTCTCCAGGGGCACTTTGCTCCCTTCTTAGGGCTCCTCTTCCCATTGACTCATCTTGCCCGCCCTCCCCCAGGGCCGGCACTGCGGTTCAGGCTTCTGCTGGAGCCCCCTACTCTTCCTCCCTGATCCTGTCCCCTCGTGCATGGCCTCCTCCGCGGCTGTGCTCTGCCAATGTCTCTCAGAGCTGTCAGCCCTGACCTGACCTCTTCCCAGAGGACCAGACCTGCACTTCTGGCCATCTGCTTTCTGGTCATTTCCACTGGGATGTCCCACAGGCATCTCACACTCAACATGTCCCACACTGAGCTCATCATCTTTCTCCTTGTGTTGTTTGGACTTGTGTTCTCTGTCTTGCCAAGTCAGCGTTTCCTCCCTTCTGGATGGCACCCCCGACTACCCAAATGCCTGGCTCAGACCTGAGTCCTTGCTCGCCCCTTACCTGCCTGCTGGGGTCTCTTCCCTTCTCCTGTCCCAAAGCTTCTCTGCATCTTTGCAGAGTATGACCACTCAGAGAGAGTGGTCATTCCTTCTTTTGTCCTGACCCCAGGGGTTGTGACTTATTGGCACATTAAGGAATTTGACAGTGATAAGTGTAACCAAAGTTTGCAAACGAGGGACTTTTTTTTCTTACGAACTTTGGCAGATTCAAGGTTACCCCTGCAGCTTTGTGATGTGTTTTGCAAACTGCTTTCTTGAGCGGGTGGAGTTCCGACTCTCACTCTGGAAATTGCATTCGGCGTGGACTGAAAGACGGTTAATGGTTGTGGTGATTAAGAGTTACAGTGGAACTTTTGGTCCTCACAGTTTTTGGGTTCCTCAGAGTCCACAGCACCCATGGGAGTGCCATCAGCAGACCTCCAGGGTGTCTGGTGTGTCCTTCCTGGAGTCCTCAGCCAGCCTCTGACCAATACCCACTTGCCCTCTAGGGCCCTGTTTGATTATGACAAGACCAAGGACTGCGGCTTCCTGAGCCAGGCCCTGAGCTTCCGCTTTGGGGATGTGCTGCATGTAATTGACGCTAGTGATGAGGAATGGTGGCAGGCGCGGCGGGTCCACTCTGACAGTGAGACCGACGACATTGGCTTCATCCCCAGCAAACGACGGTGAGGCTCCTGGGGTCTGTAGCCTTCTTGCCACAGGCACGGAAGTTCCCAAGGTCCTCCAGAGTGGGCAGCCAATAGGGGATGGGTCTGCCTTCTGACCTCTTGGGAGTCCTCTGCTGGGCCCTCCTGGGGACCATGGCTCCCATGAGCCTTTGGGGTAGATAGCTTCTCATTGAGGAGCGTGGGGTCTGGAGCCTGCTGGGAGTTGGGGTTATCAGGTGGTCCAGAGGGTGGGGACCGTAGAGCTCCTCACTGGGCATTTCCCTACCCCCCTCCCTCCGTGTATCCCACAGGGTTGAGCGACGAGAGTGGTCAAGGTTAAAGGCCAAGGTAGGTGGAGAAGGGGTGAGCTTGGGTGGAAGGGCAGGGGCTTATGGCGCTGAACTCTTAACCAACCACCTGACCTGCTTTTTCTTCCTAGGACTGGGGCTCCAGCTCTGGATCACAGGGTAGGTAGGGCCAGTTCGGGAAGACGTGGGGTGAGAAGAGCACTCAGCTGCTCTTGACATCCTCAGGAAGGCGAGACAGGGGTTCCAGGTCCCCTGCCTTGGAGCCCCTCGCAGACACCCTACCTCCCACCAGGTCGAGAAGACTCGGTTCTGAGCTACGAGACAGTGACGCAGATGGAAGGTGAGCCCTGGTCCCTAGTCCCTGCCTTGGCCCTAGACCCTGCTACTCCCTCTCTGTGCGCAGCCTAACCCAGGCTCTCTCCCCAGTGCACTATGCTCGCCCCATCATTATCCTTGGGCCCACCAAGGACCGTGCCAATGATGATCTCCTCTCTGAGTTCCCCGACAAGTTTGGATCCTGTGTTCCCCGTGAGTGCTGGGGCCTTGGATGCGGGTGGGGGTGGGGCCAGGCCGAGGAGCCCCACCTGTGGGAGCCATAGGTAGAGCCACCTGCGGGCACTGGTATGCAGGGCGACACAGGGTTTCTCAGAGAAGGGCGCTTCTCAGCCACCCTCATGTTCTGCAATAGCCATTCCTTGGCCAGAGACATGGGAACCCCAAGGGTACTGGGGGAGGGAGTTCCATCCCTCCTCAGTGTTGATCTTCCCAGCAGCCCCCTTCCACCGAAGGGCCAGAGGGCTCTTTTGGGCTTGATTGATGTAGGCAGGTTTCAAGCTAGAGGGATGGTGGTTAGATCTTTGGGGGTGGGGTGACTTCCTGGCAGATACGACACGGCCCAAGCGGGAGTATGAAATCGATGGCCGGGATTACCACTTTGTGTCATCCCGGGAGAAAATGGAGAAGGACATTCAGGCGCACAAGTTCATTGAGGCCGGCCAGTACAACAGCCACCTCTATGGGACCAGCGTCCAGTCCGTGCGAGAGGTGGCAGAGCAGGTAGGACCTGCTGGGCACCTGGTCCTCTTCCTCCTCCCCTCTCCCCACCCCATTGCCTCCCTCCAGCTCTCTCTAACTCTCTTTCTCTCTGTCTCTTTCCCTGCTGGGTCTCATCTCCGCTCCTCCACCTCCTTCTCCTCTTGGGCAACTCTGACGCCTGCTCTCTTGTGCCCCGCTCCCCCCACCTCACTTCCTGACCCCAAACTCCCCACCACCATCTGTCCCCTTTCTCTGTTCCCCTCCCTCCTCCTTGCCCCATTTCTCCTCTCTTCCCGTGGCTTTGTCTTTGGTGGCCTGGCCTTCCCCCACTTGGTCCTTCCCCTTTTCCTGACCCCCTTCTGTCCCTCTCCCGGCTCCTCACCTTTTCTGGGGCCCCACTCCTCTCTCCCACTCCTGCTTACTCCTTTTCCCTGCTGCTCCCCACACTGCCCGCCCTCCCTCCACTGCTCCTTTCTCCATCTGCCTCCCCTCCCTCCCATCTGTCTCTCCTTGTTCCTTCCATCTGTCTGTCCTCTGTCCGTCCTCCCCTCCCTCCTCCCTCTATCCTACTTCCTTTCTCCTTTTCCTTTGCTTTCCTTCCCCACCTGTCCTGTTGCTGCCTTCTGCACCCCCACCCCACTTGCTGCTGCCCCTGTTATCCCTGCTCTGCCACCATCTTTTGGGTCTGCCTGTTTCTCCTCCCTCCATTCTGTCCCATCCCTGCTCTCTTCCCTTGTTCTCCATCTTCCCCTTTCCTTTTTCTTTCTGTCCTTTACTCTGTCTGTTCATACCCCCTTCCTGCCCTGACTCTGTCTGCCCATGTGTCTTTTGACATCCATGTCCCCTCCCCTTTTGCCAACCTCCTGTTCCCCACCTTTCCATGTCCTGTGTCCCATCCTGGTACCTCTGTCTGTCCTTTCCCACCACCTGCTGGCCCCCCTCCACCCACCCTGCCTGCCCCCAGGGGAAGCACTGCATCCTTGATGTCTCAGCCAATGCCGTGCGGCGGCTGCAGGCGGCCCACCTGCACCCTATCGCCATCTTCATCCGCCCCCGCTCCCTGGAGAATGTGCTGTGAGTATGGTCATGGGGGTCTCCCTTCCGCTCCCCGACACCTGTGGCCCTAGGCCTCACGAGGCCTCTGCGTTGAACTCTTTCCCTCACAACTCTGGACACGGTTCCAGCAGCCCTTGAGGGGGATCTGCATGGAGAGCTGGAACCCAAAGGATGCAGGGAGTCTGGGCCTTTCCCCTCCTTGCTTGCCTTGGGCGAGGCAGGACTACAACTCCCAGCAGCCCCTGGGGCACATGCCTGATAGGCGAGCCAGGGCCCCGGGGATGTTGGGAATTAGAGTTCATATCCCTTCTGTGGGACTGAAGGCTGGAAGGATGAAGCCTTGGTAGAGCTCCCTGGAGTAGCTACACCCACCTGGGGTGGGTTGCGGGTGGGGCTCACCTGTGGCCCCAGGGGATATTGGGAGTTGTATTATTTTGTTGTGTCCTCCAAGTAAGAAAATACTGGTTGCAACTTAACATCCGTGGAAGGAGGAGGTGAAAGTCAGGGTGGGGCGCGCCCTCAGGTCTGCGTCTCCCTCCCTTTCACAGAGAGATTAACAAGCGGATCACAGAGGAGCAAGCCCGCAAAGCCTTCGACAGAGCCACCAAGCTGGAGCAGGAGTTCACAGAGTGCTTCTCAGGTGAGGCTGCAGCGAGGCGTTGCCAGCACACAGAGCACCTCTGCTCAGCTTCAAAAAAGCCGCCCCCACCGTGTGGATGGCTTAGAAAGAGGTGCCCCCTATGGGGTGGGTGCAGCCCCATGGTTCTTTGGCTTGGAGAATTAGAAAAAGGTGCCCCTTCCTCTGGATGGTGCCACCCCCTTGGCCAGGTGTCCTCTGGACCTTGGCCTCACTCCCTGCTCTACCCTACTCCCAGCCATCGTGGAGGGTGACAGCTTTGAGGAGATCTACCACAAGGTGAAGCGTGTCATCGAGGACCTCTCAGGCCCCTACATCTGGGTCCCAGCCCGAGAGAGACTCTGATTCCTGCCCTGGCTTGGCCTGGACTCGCCCTGCCTCCATCACCCGGGCCCTTGGTCTGGACTCAATTGCCCAAGCCCTTCGCACCCCCCTGGCCTCCCTCCCACCCCTTCTTATTTATTTCCTTTCTAACTGGATCCAGCCCATTGGAGGGGGGACACTCCTCTGCATGTATCCCTGCACCCCAGAACTGGGCTCCTGAACCCCAGGAACCTGGGGTCTGGGGGGGAGCTGGGCTCCTGGTTCCGAGCCCTTGCTCCTTAGGACCCCTACCCCCTCCCCGCCCCCAACGCACACACACACCCACTGGGGGCCACCTGCCCTCCCCCATCTTCTCCCACACACATTCCAGAAGTCAGGGCCCCCCTCAAGGAGCACCCGCTGCAGGGATGCAGGGCCTCAGGCTCCGTTCTCTCCTGAGGCAGGGTCTGGGGTCAGCCCTGCCCTCATCATAGCTCCCCATGTCCCTTGATTTCTCATTTATTTTTTCCACTTTTTTTCTTCTCAAAGGTGGTTTTTGGGGGGAGAAGTAGGGGACTCTACTGCGGGCCCCCTGCCTTCCACATGCCCCCCACCTTTTTTCTTTGCCGGTTTGCATGAGTGGAAGGTCTAACTGTGGCTTTTTTTTTTTTCCTGGGATTTTTTTTTTGGGGGGGAAAGGGGAGGGATGGGTTTAGGGACTGGGAAATGTGGGAGGGAGGGTGGGGGGCAGGGGTTGTGGGTCGGGTGTCCGGGAGCCAGGGAAGACTGGAAATGCTGCCGCCTTCTGCAATTTATTTATTTATTTTTTTCTTTTGAGAGAGTGAAAGGAAGAGACAGATACTTGAAACTCAGTGTGTGGCCTGGTTATTTGGGACTTGGGTGTGGAGGGAGACAGGGTGGAGCCACAGGGGTGTATGGGTCACATAAAGTCAGATCCTTCTTCACCCCGACCCAGAGAGAATAAACTGGCCTGGAAAAGGGGCTGTTGGGGGAACTGGCAAATCAAGGAACCACGGTTGGTGGAGAATGCGCCTGGGAAGGGCTGGTGCTCTCTCGAGAGTCACTGCCCGACTCAGAAAGAAGAGGCTGGACTTGCATGGGGCCCTGCAAAAGTAGTCCAGTCCTGTTGGGTAGCCCAACAGTCCCTAAAGGAAAACAGAGGAAACTTTCTTCTTTTGTGTTTGGGGAGTCGTGGGCAGAGCTGGGCTCTGGAGATGATCTGTGCAGAGGTTTGCTGATAAGAAATGCTGTGTGAATATTCATTAGATTTCTTTATGCCCCATCTCTATAGGAAAGATTTGAGGCAGCCTTGCAAATAATGAAGGTTGGATAGTAGAACCTCAATGCCAAAGATAAAAATAGGAGAAACAGATGCACTAGCTATGAGGGTAAATGTGATCTCAGCTTCCTGGTAGTCAGGGCAAAAAGGGAAATGGTCCATTACCTAGTTCTTTATTATAAAGGAGAAAGAATTTTAGTTCTTTAAGGGAGTCAGATTTTCCTGGCCCTAAGTCCTAACTGAAACTTCTCAGATGCTGCTATATAGAATGGTGCTTCTCAGCCTTCCTTCTGCCACTGTTCATGTGCTTGACAAGTTTCCACCAGGAAGACCTCAGCTATGGCATAGATAAGATGTTGCTGGCACCAGCTGTGATACCATTCTCTTCTCCCTCTGATTCTCAGGAGCCCCAGTAGGGAAGGATGAGGCAGAGGGCCCTGTGGTGGTTCAACCATTAACAGTGCAAAAGGGCAGTTTTTGTAACTACCCCTGACCAAAGTTGAGAGTTGGTTGCAATAGGCAGACCCAGGGCAGTGATTTCTGGGGTGGGTGTGGCTGCCCCAGCCTAAACTGATGCAAGGATAGAGGCAGAGATCCCTGAAGGGGTGTCACTGAAACCACTGGCCCTCTCTGTGGATGACCCTGCAGAATTTCCTGTGCAGCCGCTTGTCCAACAGGATCCCCCCGCCACTGAATGCTGGGAGTGGGGCCAGGGGTCTGCATTTCTGGAAAGCTCCCAGGTGATTCTGGTGTCTCGAGGGTGGAGAAGCGCTGCTTCGGAGCATGTTTTTCAAATAATCCTCTTAGCTTGGTTCCGTGTAAGAGCAGATGGTTTGAGGCTGTGCCGATGTTCTCTACCATAATAAGCTGAAGGGAGAAATCTGGGAGCTGAGGAAGGTGTGTGCAGGTAACGTGTCTGGATCTAAAGGAGTTAAGGATAGTTTACTTAGAAGGGGTAGAATCACCTAATTTTGCATGCATTATTTTTAATTAATACATGTACCTGAAAAAATTTCAAATAAATATAGAAGTACATATGGTTTTTAAGAAAGTTCCCTTCTGGCCGGGCGCGATGGCTCACGCCTGTAATCCTAGCTCTCTGGGAGGCCGAGGCGGGTGGATTGTTTGAGCTCAGGAGTTTGAAACCAGCCTGAGCAAGAGCGAGACCCCGTCTCTACTAAAAATAGAAAGAAATTAATCAGACAACTAAAAATATATAGAAAAAATTAGCCGGGCATGGTGGCGCACGCCTGTAGTCCCAGCTACTCAGGAGGCTGAGGCAGAAGGATCGCTTGAGCCCAGGAGTCTGAGGTTGCTGTGAGCTAGAATGACGCCACGGCACTCTAGCCCAGGCAACACAGTGAGACTCTGTCTCAAAAAAAAAAAAAAAAAGAACCCTTCCCATTTAATTCCACATACCTCTCAGGGGGAAGCACGGTTGCGCTTGAGATGTATTCTTCCAAGTCTGTAGAGAACCTTCCCTAGCTGCTTCCGGGGGGCACTGTACTCTACTGGACCAGAGCCCTGGGCTCCCAGACTTGGGTTCAAATCCTGCCACTTCTTCTTCCCACCCCCTTTATTTCTTTCAGCAAGTACTTATTTGGATCTTCCTTGGCGCCAGGCAGTGTTCTGAATGCTGGGAAGGCAACATCCCTGTGCTTAGAGAACTTTGGGTCTATCCAGTGGGGATGACAGACTATAGGAAGGAAACAAAACATGCGGATCATTTACAATAACACTGCTATTCGGCAGATAAGGTGACTGCAGGGCGCACGTCCTTGCTAGTTTCGACAGGGCTGTCAGGGAGACCTCTTGGAGCAACATTTGGGTTGAGACCTGAATGATGACAGAGACTGGGGTGGGGTGTACCAAGTGGAGAGAGGAACAGCCTGGTAGGAGTAAGACTGGAAGGTTGCAGGACAGAAGGAGGTCACTTGAGTGGAGCAGAGTGGGGGAGGGAGAGGAACAGGAGGTGGGTCAGAGAAGTAAGCGAGGACTTACAGGATTTATTCAAAGTGCCACAACAAGCTTGTGAAGAGCCGTAGGAGGGAGCCACGGGGTTTCTACTTCAGCAGGTTACTCTGGGTGCCAGTAGGGAATACACAGCAGGGGGCAATAGTAGCCAGGTAGGTTGTTGCTGAGGTTAAGGTGAGAGATGATGGTGGTGTCGCTGGCACTGTGGGCCAAGAGCTTAACTTCTCTAAGCCTCAGTTTCCCTAGCCATAAAATGGGAATAACAACTACATACCTCGAGGGATCCTTACGCGGAAGCAAGGGGCCAGTACACGTAATGCTCTTAGCACGGTGTCCAGCACTCTGTAGGAAATGGTGATGAGCATTGTTAACAGCCTCTTGGTCTATTTTCAGTTACTGGGTAAATCTGAAAGCTAAATAAAACCTGAAATCATTTGGAGTTTTAAAAAAATTTTTACCTTCTAAAAGTAGGAAAGAGGCCTAGAGAGGTCCTGGGTTGTAAAATCCTGGCTGTCCCAAGGCCGAAAAATTGGGTGTGCCTGGGGTGGACAGAGGGGAGTTGGGAGAAGGGGCCAGGAGGGAGAAAGACCCTGCTGGAGATGGGGGGCTCAGACCCCACCCCCCAGGCCAGGCTCTTCTCCACTGTCGACACATCGAAGCCCTGGGGGTGGCAGAGAGTCAGTTCCTCCTGTCAGCCCCAGCGATCCCCCTCTTCCCTTGCCTCTACCCCTAGTGCTGAGCCCTCCGGCCCGAGTGAGTCTCCCTGGACCTCTCTTGCTTTATCTCAACCCTGCTCAGCCTCTCGGAGATGTGGGACCTTCGGCCACCCTCTTTGCAAAGTTGGGCGCTCAGCCTCAGCTTTGCCCCTCCTGCCCATTTGTTCCGTCACCTCATCTTGAGATCTGCTGATGTCTCTGCAGACCTGGGGTGCCGAGAGGCACGAGGTGTAGTCCCAACCCTCTGGGTCTGGGGCAAGAGCAAGGGAGGCTCATCCCAAACCTGAGGTTGGAAGTGCTCTGAGAGGGGTGGGCGAAGGCTGAGCGAGCTCAGACCGCAGGTCTCCTTCTCCATAGAAGGGGAGGGGGCTGTCTTAACATCCCCGGGACCCCACCTCCGTCCCAGCGAAGTTGCTAAGCACCCTCCAGGGTGCGGAGACAGACGTTCTCTGCCACCCTGATCCCAAGCTTCCCCCTGTCCCCCTCTTCCCACACTCGAGGTGGTCCTTGAGGTCTCTAATTCAACTCTTGGCTGTGCTGCTAGAGAGGGTAATAAAAATAATAGCTGCATGTGCTGAGCACTTAGTGTGTGCCCGCACCATACTATGTGCTTTTCCACTCATTATCTCATTGAACCTTGACAATAACTCTCTGAGGTGGGCATTAAACCCACTTTCCTGATGAGGGCAGGGTGGACCAGATCTGCCTGACAGTGGCTTCAGGCTCCCTCCGCTGCATTAATGTCTCACCCCCTTAACATCCTTCCGGGGCCTCCAGACCCGCGTCCAGCAGCCTTCTGGACCCTGGTCAGGTGCACTGCTGTCCCCACCCTGTCCCTTCCCTCACTGCACAGTCAGCAGCCACCAGGTCTTCTTCATTCCTCTGCTAAAGTGCTGCCCATGTGGCCCTCGCTCTATGGCCTCCAGCCTCACAGTTTCTCACTGGGACCAACACAGCAGCCTCCTGACCTCCCTGCCTCTGGGCCACACTCCTCTGACGCAGCAGCCACGCCAAGGCCAGGCCATTGTTCAACTTACAGATCTGACCTCACCACTGCCCTGCCTGCAACTCTTCATGGGCTCCCGTAGTCCACGGGTCAAAGTCTTTAAACTTTGTTTGTCACGTGCCCCTATCAGTAAAATGTTTCTGAGTGTGCGTCTCCCCTGCATATATTCACCCATCCTTTAATGCTATGCATGCTGTGGTCGCCAGCCTTCAAGACGGCCCCCAGTGAGTACCCTTCTAGTACTCACGCCTCGTGGCCTCTACCCTTCCATGTTGAGTAGGGCTGACCTGTGTGACCAGTAGGACAGCGTGGAAATGATGGACTGTTACTTCTGAGGCTCTGGGGGAGCCAGTGGCCATATTGTGAGGACGCTCAAACAGCCCTGTGGAGACCCACGTGGTGAGGAACTGAGGCCTCCTGACAACTCCCAGCACTAATTTGCCAGCCACGTGAATGAGTCACCTTGGCAGCTGATCTTCCAGCTTCGGCCAAGTCTTCAAATGAACGTAGCGCGGACTAACATCTTGACTGCACCCTTGTGAGAGACCCTGAGCCAGAACCAATCAGCTAAGCTGCACCTTCCTGACCCTAAGAATCGGAGTGAGATAATCAACATTCATTGCTTTAAGTTGCAAAGTTTCGGGATGATTATTTTTCAGCAATAGATAACTCATACACATGTACTACTGTATGAATTTGTTATATACATTATAAAACATATCCCCAAATAGAAAATCTAGAGAAAAGAGATTAAAAGTATATTTTTACATATTCTAATGTTTTCTTCCCACTCTAATGGATGAGCTTGTGACTCCCTGGGGTGAATGTCCCCCACGTTAGAGACCTCTGTGCTTCAGAATGACATTCAAAAT